AGGGAAGCGGGGCGTGAGTGCGCACGGGGCGCCTGGCGCCGCGGAGCTCCGGGCGGAGGCGGCCTCCCGCTGCGCGGGGTGTGAGTCTCCCGGCGAGGGCCCGCGAGCGCGCTGGGGCCTGGGTTTCGCTTCAGGGTTTGTCCTTCCTTGTCTGGCCCCTAGCTGTCCGCATTCAAGGTGATAAGTTTAGAAAGCAAACGTCGTGGACTCGGAAGGGCGACTCGCGGCTTCCGGCGGGTTGCGCCGGGTGTTCCTGGGCCCGCACCCTCTGCCGCGCTCAGTCCTCCTGGCTCCTATCGCCCGCCTCGCCCGGCGCCTCTGCCGGCTTCTCTGCCTCCTTGGCGCGCTCCTGCTCCGTGAGCTGCTCGCTCGTGGGGATGGAGTTCTTCTTTGGCCTCCCTTTGGGCTTGGTGGGAGACTCCAGGCCGCCGCCCTGCAGCACCTGCGCAGGAGACCAGCGGCACCGCAGTGAGCTGGGGCAGGGCCGGGGAACCCCGCACCCTGTGCCCAGGCAGGGGCCTTGAAGAGCCCAACGAGGCCATTTGAGGCCGCTCCCGGCCCCGGGGAAATGGCGACCATTTGAGCTCTCCTGGGCATGAAAGCGACAAGAGGGTTCAGCAGAGGGGTTCGAGGCTTCCTGGAGTCCTAGGGGTTCTGGGAGCACGAAGAAATGCGGACTGGGCTAGGACACCCAGAGGGACAGAGAACAGAGAGGGTCCCTCTGGGCACCAGGCACCGAGGAAACCGGGACGGTTGGGCAGAGGTCTCCACGGTGGAGAGGAGAGCAGCTCTTGAAGGCTACAGAAGCATGGCGGCAAACAGAGGGCGCGGAAAGCCACGGGCACACTCACTATTTTCTTCCACTTCATCCTTCGATTCTGGTACCAAGTCTTCACCTGCAACTGGCTCAGACCCAGGGACTCGGCGAGATCTATTCTGGAAAGAGCGGGATGCACCCTCATCAGGGCAAGCAGCACCCTTCCCACCACCCGCTGGGCTCAGCCTGGCCCCGTGCTACCTGTCGGGCGTGGAGAGGTACTTCTGCTTCTCGAAGCGTTTCTCTAGGCCCATCAGCTGCAACTCGGTGAACACGGTGCGGCTCCGACGCCCCTTCTTGGCCTTAGT